AAGATGTTGTGAGTTCATTTTGGATCATCATTTAAGATTTCGAAACTGCAGATAATAATCTTTCCAATATAAAAAATCGTTATTCCAGTGTCTTCCCCAACATAATGAAGAACCAACCATAATTCCAGGAGAGCTTGATGAAGACTTTAGAAGTATTCGATCAGCAAAAAACTGTTTTGATTACAGTCAGAGGATGTTCAGACAGTATTTGATTAACACCAATCTCACTGATCGGAGACTATATGATACTTGCTCTGTGAGTTTGAAAACTTTTAGAAAAGTTGAAAACTCAAAAAAAAAATCAGAAACTGATAACCGACATGTCAAATTTGATGAATGCTGATGAATTGTTATCCATCTGTAATAATCTCCCAAAAGCGATCGATAATGATCGACTGGAAGTTGTCAAGAAATATGGGAAAACTGCCGATAGTCTTTATAACGAGTTTTCCACTCTACGAAACAGTTTGGAAAACGGGTTTGAACAGCTCCAAATTAGTCATCTACCAAGCGCTCCGAGTTCTCAGCACAGAGCTATTGAGCAGTAGTAATACTGAAGCAAAATCAAGAGGAAATTTGACTTCGAAGAACTACCGAAATTATCTATCCTTAATATAATTTTCTGCCTCATCATTACCTCCCGTTGTATATTCTTATTGGATTTTTTTTCGTTCTACTAACTTTTTATAAAAATTCCTTTCTCCATACTAGCAGTTTCGGTCCTACCCATATGTATGATACATACACATTTACCTCCAATTTATTTTTATGTTTGCATTCCATGTTAATCAATTGCCATTCAGACTAGGTGACTTTGAATATGTCCGGAAACAACCAAACTTGGAGTTATAGCACTCAAGTGAGATAAAAAGTATTATTTTTTTCAAATTAAATTGTTTTTCAGTCACCACAGCAACCTGTGAGCTCTCAGTATAATGTAATTCTGCAAATCATGAATTTTCTATTCAATTCAAACTTTAGGCACCGTATCCTCCCAACAATCGAGGACCTCAACCTGCCAATCAACTAAATCAACGGGGTCAAGGGGTAAACTCAATCGTCTATGTCACATAGACTATTTGAGTTGATTTTACGATTTTATTTCAGAATCCAATTTATCCTCACGGCTCTTCCAACACTACAGTTCCTATCTATATACAAACACCATATGCGGGAACACCTGGATCTGTCCCAAGCAATGCTGATCCAACTTTCCCATCTTCTGAGAATAACAGAACGGTTACAACTTCCACTGAACCTTTCTTGGTGAGTCAATAATTGAAATGAATATTTCGGATGCTCATTTTTAAAAAAAATATTTCTGATTTACGATTTCGAAAACCCTGATAGTGAGAAAAATAAAATATACATGATAAACATATACCAAGTCAAGAAGATGTTCTAATAGGGTAAAATATATTAGAGAATAAGTAAATTTCAGAATCCAATTTATCCTCACGGCTCTTCCAACACTACAGTTCCTATCTATATACAAACACCATATGCGGGAACATCTGGATCTGTCCCAAGCAATGCTGATCCAACTTTCCCATCTTCTGAGAATAACAGAACGGTTACAACTTCCACTGAACCTTTCTTGGTGAGTCAATAATTGAAATGAATATTTCGGATGCTCATTTTTTAAAAAAATATTTCTGATTTACGATTTCGAAAACCCTGATAGTGAGAAAAATAAAATATACATGATAAACATATTCCAAGTCAAGAAGATGTTCTAATAGGGTAAAATATATTAGAGAATAAGTAAAATAAACATACGGATCGAAAATTAGTTGTGAAATTAAATTGAAATAATTGATAGGATATATTGATCTTGATTGAGGAATGGCTTTGCAATAAATAATCCATTCGACTAAACGTCCTATTGAAAAACAAAGCGTTGCCAAGTTTTAGTTTCAGCTCTTTCCATTGAAATACTTTTTTGTAATCCTGTAATTAATGAGTTTTTTATTCAATTCAAGCTTTAGGTACCACATCTTGTCAACACTGCAGTTACTCCAAATGCATGGTACGATCAAAATCGTAGGGGTCAAGAGGTAAACTAACTTGATCGTCTATGTGAGTTGACTTTGATTTACTATTTCAGATTTCAATTAACCCCCAACGTTGCACACAGAATTCAAGCAGCCTACCACAGTTAGTTCATTTGAATGTACAGCAATTGAATGCTGAAAATCCATCCGGTGTTCCCCAGCCTATTTATCAGATAGCTCCTCCATCTTATGGGAATAATAGTATGGTTAAAAATCACAAAGGATTTTTCTCGGTGAGTAAATAATTCAAAGAAACTGTTTGGATGGTTCTGTGTTTCAATATAACAATTGCATTCAGAAATTAAAAAAATGGGGGAGAGTATCTTCAAAGCATCTACTAAAAAATCTAAAAAATCTACTAAAAAATCGGATGTGAGATTGGAAAATGTTTAAAATATTAAACAATTATGTTTCAGGGAACTGTTACTGTTGTTACACAAAACTCTGTGTCTCCAGCTGAACAGCAACTCCAAGATGAATTGGATCGAATGAGACAAGAGGACGAGTAAGTATGGAACTCCGTGTAAATAGTTCAGAATTAACTTCAGGAGAGTAGAAAGAGAACGTGAGGAGAAGATTAAAAGACGGAATGAAGAGAGACTTCGAAAAGCAAAGGAAATGCAGGAACTCATGGAAACCAATTTGAGAAAAGAGAACGAAATCGAAGCGGCTCGAAGAAATGAAGCGAAAATTAGAATGAATGAGGAAATAGATTCGTTGAAAAACGAAAATTTGTATAAGGATAGACTGAAAGAACAGGTAAGATTCAAAGTTATGTGATCTGTTTAATAACCAATCTTCAGGCTTATCTACAAGAACTTCTTGAATTGAAACGGGAAGGAGATCAGGAACGAAGAAATATTGAGGATCAAAGGGAGAAGTGAGTGAAAAAACAGGATATTGGAGTAATTAAAGTTTATTTAGAGAACGAATGAAGCATGAGAAGATAATCATGGCAAAAGATAGAAAGTTTGAACAAGATACCATTATGTACGAAAAAGAAGACCACCTAAGAAAGGAGTGAGTAGAGGACTTTTAAAGAAAACTAGATTTAAATTCTGAATCAATGTTTAATTACTCCTATTTCAGAGAACTCATACGCATTCAAGAGAAGCATGAAGAAAGAACGCGTTTAATTTACGAAGAAATGGAGAGAAAAATGGAAGAAGTTCGAAGACTAAACAAAGAAAAAATGAATCAAATGAGAAAGCAATGGCAGCAAATCCAGAAGATGCTTCAGATGAAAGTTTGGAATGTAATTATCGAGAACAACTGGACGAATCGACTAAACGTTCTCCGAAACTCGAATAGAAACATTATGGATCTGTTCAAAAGATTCTATGCTGAGGTACTTGCCATTATAGTCAAAGTGATCAGGTTTAAAGTTTCAGGCAAACAAAATCCAACGTCACTGTGATAGATCAGAAGATGTCAGCAGAGAAATTCAACGAATCGTCCCGGTTTTGAAAGCACTAATTGGCGCTGTTGGACAAGTTGAAAACTTGATGAATGAGGAGTCTGAAGTTCTTTACGACCAGTGGCAAAATACTGGTAAAAGCTTTGTATACTGCATAAAGGATTCAGTGGATAAAGTAAAGTATACATGTAAGAAGTTGAGAAGCTCATTGAAGAACTACGGAGAGCTGTTGAAAAAAGTGAGTTCTCGATGGTTTGTGAAGTTCAATTTGATGAAAAATGTTCCAGGAACCAACTTATGTCTCCTCTCAACACGAATCTTATCTTGATCACATCAAGAAAGACATTGATGATGTGTCAATGTATTCGAACAAGATTCCAACGTTGGCGGAACTCAAACAAGAGTACAGTAACGATATGAGATCGGAAACCCCACCGAATAGTAGTTCTCATGATCTTGTCCCCTTCCAAACTGTGATAATTGAAGAGATTGAATAATTTTCCATATTTCTTTTCATTCTTTTTAAGCTATAAATAACCAATTGGCAATTAATTTATTTTCGTTTGTAATTTGTTTTTTTCGCAGTTTTACAGTACTGTTCAATATCGTTGAGTCATTAATCTTATCATTTCAATAACATTACTTTCAGAATGGTGGATTATTGGGGCAGGTTTCTAAAAAACTGCGAGAAAGTAGGGCGGGACACCGAAAAAATTTGGAAGAAAAGTTAATTTCTCTATTTTGATACCACAAAAAACATGTTTTCAGATTATAAAAGGCTTGAAAGAAATGTTAGGAATGAAACTGAAAGAATGAAAGAAAGAATCGACTGTTTGAATCGTGTCAAAGACTTGGAAGTTCAGCTTTCTCAGCCGCCCGAAACTGGCAAAGTACATGTTCCAGATGAAAAGAAAAGAGCATTTCTGGAGCTTATGGAAACGGTACATCGCATTGTGGACAGCTTACAGAACATCAATACATTGGTCAATAAGTGCAAATGAATGAAATGTAATTTATGTATTACAGTGTAACCCGATGGTTGGTGAAGAACCACATGTGAATCCAGGTGCCAACAGTACCGATATTTCAAGACTGGACACGGACAGAGAACTGCTTCGAAAGCAGATAATTTCTTTTCGGCAATTGGTTGTGGACAACACCGACGATCTTAGCCCGCATCTGGTGGGATCCTGTCGTCTTCTTAACTACTAACTAGTTAAAATTATTGATTTCAGAGTTTTCTGACACAACTCGATGGTATTCTACGAGGAAGAGTTCTCCGAACTATCTGCCAGGAACTGCAAAACATAATCGATTCGGGTGATAGTGAAAGTGTAAAGAAATACGGAGAGCTTTCACAAGCAGTTCTTCAGCAGGTGGATGGATTTATCTGTATGCTCGATTGGGAATTGAAACAAGATCAATAAGCAGACCGCCAAGTTTTACCCAATCAGTCTGATGACGTTAATAATGATAACATGTTTTGATTGTATAAAAAAGAACACTTTTACATTTGTATATAACTGGGAAAAACGTTTATATATAATTTGGGAATAAATATGTATGCTGAACTAATAAAAATATTGCTGGAGTCATGTGTAGGTGGGTCTTGGTTAGGAACAATCAGTTTGTTTTTATGTTCAGTATGTCAGAAACCACTAGGGTTGCAAGGGCGTCGTATCCTAGCTTGCCCAGAAATACCCTAATCAAAATGCTACGGCCGGCCGTATCCCAAGTTTGTCTCGAATTACCTATATGTCATACAGATTCAAAGTTCAATTTCCAGAATTTTTCTCTTCCAGTAGTCTCCTAAATAACAACAGGTGATTTATCAATCCTTTAGCGTAAAGTGATTTTTTCCCCATTTTTTCTTCCTCCATTTGATATATTTTTTTTTCTGATGAAATATTCTTACTCTTCTGATGAAGCGCCATTCATTGCGGCTTCTAACCGTTACTGGGATCATTATGCACAATGTCTTCAGAAAAAATCGATACATCAAAGCAACAATATATATTATTTGGCTATGAACATTATTGGGGCTTTACAGATACCATTATTTCTTATTTCGGTGTATTGTATTCTAAACAAATCTCCTTGGAATATGAAATCCTACAAATGGCTTATTTTAGTTTTTCAGTTATCGTGAGTTTTAAGTTTCTTAAATTAAAGGTCATTATACATATTCCAGAATCATCTCTTTTAACATCTTTCTCACAATTTTATCAACTCCTATCATATTTTATCCTTTTCTCTGTGGATACCCAATAGGCCTGCTATCAACATTTATTTCAACTCGATCTCAATATTATCTTACTACCTTGATGCTGGCCTGTCAGACAATCAATTATCGGAAAATGAATGAAATTAGCGTTTTACAGGTGTTGGTGCATCGACTACATGCTTATTTGAATACAGACATCAAAGTGTATTGCCGAATTTCCACTTTTTACGTCACTCTGTTGAATATCGAGTATTCAAAATATCCGTCTACTATATAGCCGGAATTCTACATGTATTTTTGCCAGTGTACTTTGAAGAGATAGAGAATCGAGAATTGATTGAAATTGTCGTCGATGGTTGGATAAACGCTCCATGTGATATTTGGAATAAAAGAACTGTTGTGCTTTCTACAAAACCATTCGGATTTATGCATTTTTATTTTGTTGGAGGGATTATTGTAGTCTTGATTTTATGCACTCTGTACGCTGGTCACTCGTTTTATGTCATAAGAGCTACACGGATTCTGCTGTCGAAAGAAATGCAAAATGTTCAGAGAAAGTTTCTGAAAGGATTGCTTCTGCAGGTAAGTTAACCATGTGTGTTTTGTGCCAAACCAGGAAGTTGTAACAAATATCAAGAATGACTGAGTCTTTCTTTTTCAGGTGTTGATTCCGTATTCAGCTCTCGTTTTACCAGCTGGTCTCGGGTTGATTCTTCTGCTGCTGATTAAAAACTGGGATCAAAGTGATTATTTAAACAGAATTTAATTCAAATCTGTTCAAATTTTCAGAATATGTCCAACCTGGGCTTTGTCTAATAGCAACTCATGGCCTATTGTCCACAATGACTACAATACTTGTTCATAAACCGTACAGATTACACTTATTTATTTTATGTCGTCGTTTTTTCTTTCTCCCAGTTGGTATGCTATTAGTTTTTGTTTCAAGCATAAGAATTCAAGTTTAAGGAATCAAAGTTCATACGGTTGTTGAAATGACAACAATAGCGAACGTTCGAAAAATGGGAACTCATGTTCAAGTGACAAAGTTTTAATATTTTCCCAACATTGACTGTGTTCGAATGACTCATCGTTTCCCCTAACAATAGTATGATAACAACCCACTCAACAACATAAAAACTGATAACAGAACAACTATTGATTGTTAGTGTATTCCTCATTTTGCTCTATTTTTGTCATTTGTGATCAACATGCTCAAAGTTGCTATTTTCCTAACGATTTTCGGTTTTGGTGAGTTTTTGATATTTCGGACAAATGTTTTAGGTATTTTTCTATCGTGGGCATTTGAGTTTTCGAACAGATGGATCCAATTCTCGCAAATTCGTCAATTGACCCATAAACTAATAAAGCTTCCAGGCTCCGTAATTGCATTAATCTGCGAAACTTGTGATGGGTCCACATGTCACGAAAAGGATCGTTGGGTCCAAGAAAGCTGTACCTCATCGGCTCAGTTTTGCTACCGATTATCTTCTAAAGGAAGAGCATTCCGTCGTGGATGTTCCGATTTTCCATGTGACACACTTCCCGGATTTGAATCTAATATGGAATGTAGAACTTGTAGTCAGGATAGGTATGATTATTTATTCTGAGTTCTTCTGACAGATTGTCCTTTTCAGATGCAATAACGAACGGGATAGCTTCTTCCATCAACGTGGCGGCGGTGTTAGTTGGAAAAATGCTGCTAGCAGAGATGTTTCCTCCACTTTCATCTTAGGAACTTTATTGATCTTCTTTATCAATTATATTTTGTAATTTTCAAGTCTTCTCCTTTTTTCAATCCGATCTCCAAATATCAACAGAACATGTATAAAATAATTTATTTCTGTAAATATCACGCAATTCAAATATTCCAATGAAATTGTATAGTCAAATGAAAACTTTAACATAAATTAACCCGAATGAATAAGCACTGGTTTCGGGATACTGTAACTAATTTAAAGATAAACAGCGTTCTTTCGATTTGCGAAGAAATCTATGAGGTCCCCTCGGATTTTAGGATTGCAAAGGTAATAAATGACGATGCGAATGGCAGATGTGAACATGTAAACGAAGGAAACCAAGTCCGAAAAGAAAGTATGGAAAGTGGAAGACATCTGTGGGTCCTCTTCGGATTTCAGAATTTGATGTCCTGATCTGAAATTGTCGAATTAAGCATATGAAACGATAGCGATAATGATATTGTTCACCTTTCCAGGACTGTGAGACTGAGGTGAAGAATATTTGAAATCAGATAAGAAGTTACGATAGCTGCCATTGTGAAAACAGCACTTCTCACTGCAGGAGACATGCTTTTCAAAGGGAATGAAAGACCCATTGCTGAAAAATCAAACTTATTCGACTGTTATCTTTTCAGTAACTTACAGGTAGACGATTTGTGAACTGGAGTAATCTGTGTTAACAACCGATCCTCTTGGAAACAAACTTCTGTTGGCTCTGGTTGCTTTTCCTTCTGCACACTATCCGAGCACATTCTTCTCACAATAATCAAATTGAGTCCAACCAGCAGAACAAATGGAACAAGAGTCTGAGCAATGGTCATCACTTGGAAATCGAAGAAGTGGTAGAGCTCACTTTCTTGAGCCCATTCTCTAAAACAGATTCAATTAGTGTATGTGTGATGTGCTATTGGTTGTACCTTGGATTTGTGGTTTTAGTTCTGAAGAAGTCTGGACACTTTGGATAATCATCCACTTGGATAGCAAATGCGCTAGGAGATCTTAGCAAAATGCACATAGCCAAAGAAACAATAACTGTAATGTGTCGTCCTGTAGAAGAGTGAAATGCTTTCAATAGGTTGCTTCTGGAAAAATTCTATTTTAGAATCCTTTAAACAAATCATCAGGACTACTTGTTCTTGGACGTCCAGAAGAGGCGTTCAAGTGTGGCGAAAATGAGCATATAAGGGATAGCCAGCTGAGTGATTCGAGCCATCACGTAGGCAGGAACGATGTAGACATAATATAGTGAGAATAGGCTCTGCAAGAGAAGTTGAGTGTCAGTTGAGATGATTCCAAGTTCCTCACCTCAATTTTTAAGTAGCTGACTAACGCGTCTACACCGAATAAAAGAATGTATTCGAAGCAAATTGCAAGATCCAGACAGGCAAGTACAGACGGATACAAAGTGGCTGGTGTGTTAGAGATCTGAGAAATAATTTACTTTTTTCAGTCAATTGAAAATTTCGAGGAACAAGTAAGAGCTACTTTCTAGATAACAACGTGTGAAAAATGCTGTCAAATTGACAGGAACTAGAGTTTTAAAGTTCTAAGAAACATAGCCGATCTTTTAAAATGAAAGTCGGATGTTGTCTCTTCTAGGAAACGAGTTGTTTGAAAGTTCCTCAAAATTTCTTGATGATTGAATAGACCAGGATAACTAGGAAAAGACTAGGAAGGTACTAGATGAAAATGAACACTTATTTTTCCCCCAGACTTATATTCTCACCTGCTTATTGTTAGATGAAAACACAATGAGCAACAATGCATTTCCAATAGTTCCAAGACACGCAATGACCGTTGCGATTGTGATTAGAATAAACCGAATAGGTGTATAAGTTTCATACTGTAACAAACAAATTGTCATTCCCTGCCTATTGAAAATTAAACTCACATGAGCACATAATAATTCCGCTTCAGCCTTGGCACGGAGCTCAATCAGTTCAGCCAGTACGGTAAGGTTCATCTCAAGCTGAAAATAGAACAAATGGGTTAGCTAGTGGGAGAGCTATCAAATTTTGTACTCGGAAAATTCAAATTCGAGAAAAAGGAGTCGAATTCATTTTGGGGTTGGAGAGAAAAATTGAAATTCGAAATGGAAAATAGAGAAGTGGGGCAATGGGAAGGGAGGAATGGAAGGGATGGAGGCTCCGCCCAGCTCGCGCTCTTGTCAATAAGAACAAGAAGAGGTGCCCTGATGGCGAATACTGGATTTTACGATATGTTCCAGGCCAAAGTTTTGATTGACGCAAATTGAAAATTGTACTAGACAAATATAAAAGTAGCACATTTCGGACACAGTTAGTCATGAGGTTCTGGAAAAGCAATGAGAGTGGAGAGTAATTGAAATGCGACTATTTGCAGCTGGAGGCCTTCATGATGACGGAGAGAAGCGAAAAAAAAGATGGATGAACGAGAGATCCTGTGTTTGGAAAGTACAGGTTATACGATTGGTCAATGATCTGAGATAGATGCGGAAAAACTTATTGTGATTATCAACGGCTTGTACAAAAAATAAAACGAGAATTCCGAAAAAAAAACAGGGAGATGAGAGCGTCTCAAATGAAATAACATGTGCTGCCCCAGATAGGTTTTATTGACCTATGAGACTGATGAGCAAGTTGAACAAGAGTAGAGGAAACAACTTTATTGAAACTATCAACCGTAAACTGAGTTGTACCTTTCGGAAGTAGAAGCAGTGGTCCGGACGAGAGATCCTCCATGACGGTGTCAGTTGGAGCTTCTTGAGTTGCGGTTCCAGAGGATCCGGCATTGGTGGTTTTGGCCTTGGAGGACTTGGCGATTCCGTTGGAGTTGGAGGCAGACATCGGTGGCGGGAGCAGTTGGAGATTGAAGGAGAGATTTCCTTGATACTGCTTGATCCTTCCAATTCTTTTCCTTATATAGCCTTCTCTTCGATAAGCCACGTGGATTGATTTGGGGCGAGGTTGATGAAGTTGCCGATAACCAGAGAAGAATTTCAATATTGTCGTTTTAGTATATGATTTTATATACTGTTGGTTTTAGGTCGTGAACTGTTTTTCATAATATCACAAACATTTTATCAGTTGACACATTTTCGATATCTAACATACGAGCCGAGATAATTGTGCTCAAACTTGACAGTGCGTGGGGCCTTTCTATTACGGATTTTACTGTAGTTAAGTGATTAACGAGGAGTACCGAATATCCGAGATTGTGCATTTGATCAAAATGAAGGATAGAAAGAAAACGGGATATTCAATTTGAATTTACTAGAAGCAATGGATAAATTTTTAAATGCTTCATAAGCTGATATTTTCGATAATCCTGGCTGAGAAATAAATCTTAAAATATATCATAGAACGGTGATTTGAAATTGAAATATGTTAACAATTGAGATAGAATTCTACCTAAATATCTACATAACGTGCATGTTTACAAAAAAATAGGAATCAAGTGGGTGGATAGTCCGAAAATACTCGTTTTTTTCCACTACAACTTGTCAAGGGAAGAGAAAAAAGTATCTAATTTCAATTAAGAATCCTCCTGATGGGCAAGAGGAAAGTGTCAAAAAAGGCACTTTCAAGTGATGTCGTCAGGAATTTTAGGAATCAAAAGTTGAGGAAGCGATCGCCAAAGGTGCAAATCTCCAAGAAATGATTTGGAGGTCCCTAGATGATAGTTTTGGAAATAAAAATAAAAGAGAACTAATTCTTAAAAAGGAGATTTCTCTATAGAAAAAGGAGCTATCTGGGAATTGTAAAAGAAGATAAACTATAAGAACCGAGGGATTAGCAGATTTATAATCAGAATCAGTTGGTCTCTTCTCTCAAGAGTATAACACACTCATAATTTAATTACTATTGTTATCAAAAGGGCTTCAAGGGATTATGATGATGATGTGGGTTCGAAATTATTTTGTTGGTGTGTAGTGAATTAAAGATGAAGAAATAGAAAAGCATAGAAGATTTTACCGCAAACATCATATTCTCCTGACCATTACCGTAAAACCTGTAATAGAAGGGTCCCCAAGTTTGAATTATCTCAATTCCTATGCAAGATGTCAAAAATATGTAAACTAATAAAATGTTTGTGATATTATGATAAACAATTTATCAGTTGACAACTTTTTTATAAATTTGACAGGAACCGAGATAAATTGGCTCAAAGTTAATTGTTATGAGCCCTTCTTTTACTGGTTTTTCGGTATTTGAAAATCATAAACTTGTTCGAAAAAATAACTGCACGCTATTTCTAGAAAACTCTGGAAAAAAACTAAAGGAGCCGAATAAGGAAGAGATCTTCTGTTTCAATCTACACATGATTTGAGTGTGATGTGATTCTCGTTGGAGCATGAAATACGAGTATCTCTTTCTCTCTCCAGAAAAAGAAACGGATTGTTTTTATTTTGAAGAAATATAAGAAAGTTCTGAGATTGCCTCTGGCTCGAACGTTTCGCCGAAATTTCAATTTACTGTGTTTTGAAGGAAGTAAAACAGATTTGTGGTGTTCGAAATTAAAAATCTTTGCCGGATCTTTGTTCAAGCTTTGTGTTTTGAGCAAAGAAACTTGGTCCGTTGGGTAAAGTACTCGGCTGACCGTTGCAGAACTGAGACGGGGTCAAGGAATGTCGTAGAAACTTTAGATGATTTGAGAAAAATGTTTCAAATATCAGTTCAGATAGAGAAAAGACTTTTTAAAGTTGGGGAGCATTTAAAAAACAACTGCCTCGAAATATTTGTCATATAAACCTCTTGAGGAGTTGAACTTGTGGGACAACTATTGAAGGCGGTGTGCGCCACCGATTGAGCCACGCAGGAGAAGCTAAAGCCGCTGCCCTATGAATCTCCTGTCCTCTCTGCTCTAAGAATCAGAGCACAAACCTTAAAAGCGAAACAATCGCAAGCTAGGATTTTCTAAAATCAAAGAATTCACGTAAGAAGGAAGCTAATTAAAATGCATGAGTGAATCTTTTTTGAGCTTTTTTATGAAGTGAAGTTGAGAATATTCAATTGAAAATATAATGAAATCTATGGTAGTCAGATGTTACAAATTCTCAGTGTAGAGTTCAAAAACTTATGATATCGAAAATAGACAAAATCCATGATTTGAATATTGTTTCAGCCATTCTAAGAAGCATCCAAAGATACAAGTCTCAATGTAATAGACCCTACGCAGTCCAAATGAAGTCACCCAATCAGTATTCTGTTCTTTTTATTTTTTTTAACTCGAATTGCACGTCACTCCTGCTAATTATACATTCACTTCTCTTTTTCCAAAATCACTTCCCACCAATCCGCTCAAAAAGAAGACGTCCTCTTGCCCCCGTCGTCTACAAACTAAATAGAGTCAATTTGAGTTTCAGAAGAGATCGAAGAGAAAAAAAAGATGAGAATGCTGAAAGAATGCGACCGTCCAATTTCCTTGGAGTTTTCCTGTTTTTGGTATTGAATTTGGGAGAATGTTTAAAGAGATGAAAGTTTCTCTACAAAAAAGATGGGACTAATTTTCAAAGTGTGCCATCGTTTTTTTTGCAGAATAACTTCCTTTTCTTTTGCGAGTATCTGGGAAAGAATGACCATGCATTTGATATCACTGTTTGTCTAGAAAAAGAAAACATGTTTATCTCTGTACAGTAATCATAATGTCCGATATTATGTATAGCTATTGAGAATGATTGACTTTTCAAAAAGTTCATACACCAGAAATAGTGAGATTCCAAGAGATTTCTAGTAATAAAAGGTTCTGAAAAAAGGCTAAAAATTAGGCACCTTTTCAAAAAGTTCTTATCCCAAAGACAGATGTTCTGAAGTCACAGGTGACGCTAGATGGTATGATTCGAAAAAAGTTAGATAGGGATGCTTAGATTGGATTGGAAGAGGATTTTCCGGAGGAAGGACATATGGGATAAAATTAAAAAAAGAAATAAGGAGGTCAAATATATCCTAAGGGAGATGTGATAAGCTGATAATGCGTTCGATCACTTGTAACAGCAAGGCTGAAAGATTTGCTTGGTTTTAAACAAAGTTAGACTACAATTATCGTCGAACTGCAATTATAAGCATTTGTTTGAATGATGTGATTGAAAAATTTCTCAATCTCTCGGCACGATTCTTGATTTACCGCCATCTGACGTATTCTAGACGTCAGCGACTTCACCTTTCGGTATCTAGATCCAAAATCATTTACTCAGCTTTTAACAAAAAGATGCCGAAGCTAGATTTATGAAGTGAACTGGAATAAACTAAATGTTAAACTGGCAACTCAGCGAAAGAAGGGTCCAGGGAAAAATGTACTATTCAGGAAATTGAGACGTTTTTCTTCTCAATCATTTGATACAATCAAAGGAAAGAAATGATGGGTCATGAGTAAGGAAAGATTCTGGAGAATGACCTCCTTGAGAAACAAAACACAGACATGGGAGCTCAATCGTTCCGAAACCTCTTGTCCTTGACTTCTTGAAACGAGAGCGAGAAATGTCGAGGCAAAAACTGCCCCCGCTGCTCAATTCAAACCGATTTTTCATTTACCCTTTTGCCGTTGCATAAAAGAGGAGAGCACTTGTGTAAGCTGTAAATTGGGTTTTAAATCCCAGACTCTGAATCCATTCGAAGACTGGGGAAGTATGGATTTTAGATCAAACGTTTTTGCCCCGGGGGGAAAGTTGCGTCAAAATTCGTCCACAAGGATTTTAGTTCGAATTAGTCTGACTAGTTTGTCAAGTTGTTCAGATGGTCGAAAGAGAAGTACGAACATTTGGAAGTTTGCAAAAATTTTGGTGCCTACTTAAAAAAGCGGGACACGGCCTAGTCTGGTGGGCCCTGGTCTTCCACATTTGAAAAAAAAATTAAAAAAATTATATTTTTCTTCGGCAGAAAATTTGTTTTTTTAATTGACGCAAAAAGTTATATAAAAAGACAGGAAAACATAATTACTAAAAACTCGGGGCGAAATGGGCCGGACCTTGAAATTTTTGAAAAAAAAGCCCAGTCCGTTGCGAGTATGCATAATACGTAGTTCTCACATTAATTGATGTTTTTTCAAGCAAAAAAAACAAACAGTCTCAAGTGGCACAAAAATATTTTTCCTAGAAAATAAAGTGAACAAGGATATCTTATAACTAATAGTGAAAAACATATTATCTTAATCTTCTCTCACCTAATATTCTGGTTTTTTTGTTATGAAGCCCAACAAAGCTCAAACAATAAGGTCAAACTCGGGCTTTTTTTGAGCTCTTGACTGCTAGCTGTAATTATAGGCTTCAGAGAATGACGAGATGTCTTGTGTCTTATTTACGGAATAGTCGCAAGAGGAGAAGATAATATTGGGAGATTGACCGGAAAAGCTCATGTTTCCTATAATATTGACATTGGAGATTTTGAGTTTTCTGAGGTTTTGGAGAATCAGATCCTTTATGAAGTAGTTCTATTTATAATGTTTCTAAATGTCATACCAAAAATTCAAACAAATGCTAATCTCTAATTTTGTTTGAAACTTTAGAATCGAGGGTTTCGAAGATTAAAAGTTAAAAATAGTAGTTTAGATTATGACCAACTAAGATTCAACTATTTTTTCTATGTCAGACGTTTCAGTTATATCTTATTTAGGTTGTATTTGTGTATCAATACAAAAAAAATAAAAATATTACAAAAAAACAACAGTATACCAGATATTATTAGATTACCACAAGTCCATAAATCTCTTGTATTGGGCTAAAAACTAATCAAGTGGGATGGATGACCGCCGTATAAAAAAGAGCAAAGCGTTCATGCATATTCAAAGAAACTTGAGAGAAAAAAGAAAAAGAAAACAACGTTCATTAACTGATTCATCCAAGAATACGGAAGAAGTGAAAGAAGAAACACAGAAAAGCTCTTGTCTGTGTGTCCAAGACAAACATTTTGAGAATTTGAAAACAGAAGAAATTGATATGGATCGGAAAAAAAGGAAGACGGTGGAGTTGTTGGTCCTTCACCCCCAAAAAAGGTTTACTTTCAGATTTATTTTTCGTAAAGCGGAAAATGCGGAGGTCCCCGGTGCCGGTCAAGGGAAGAGAAGAAGAAGATCGGAAGTAGAAGAAGAAGAGAAGAAATAAGGAAAATGAAATATTTGATGAGAAGAAAATGAGTGAGTCGAGAATATCGGATTGGAACAGGAAAATGTTTTATATGAATGGCAATGTGGAGAAAAATAGGAGTTGTTTTTAGTGGAGATGTTTGTGTTTTATCATGGATAAATAGAGATCTGATGGTATGAATGATCAGAAATGTTTCAATTACATTTTTGAAGGTTTTAAGGAAGGCATGAACTTTTATTACAAAAACGAAAACAACAATAATAATGAAATAAACTAAAGGACTTTTGACCTGAATTCATTCTAAACTTAAGAAGTGAATAGACAATACTCTCATTTGAAATCGTTGCTCTGCTATTTTCTAATTTTCGTTATGAGATATTTCTTCTCTAGAACTACTAAAATCCTTCAAAATATGAAAAGTCCATGTATACCGTGAAGCCTGTATGAGAAAAACCATTCTCTTTTTTGTAGTATCTCTATTGAGGGACTTCAAGGGGGGGGGGGGCACGAGTATTTTTCGTGATGCTGCTGAGGAGGGCACTTCTATTAGAGGGACATCGTCTTTCGAATAAACTCGTTTTTCTACATAACATCCATCAACATTTTCTTTATAACAAAACAAAAACACCTATGATGTAATCAAAGCAAAAAAAAACTACAGAAAATCAGGGGCACTTAAACTAGTGGAGCTTTTCAACTTCAAGGGCTATTCTAATATAGGTTTCACAGTGATAATTGTACAAAAAAAGACGGTGTGGATGAGAAACGTTGGTGGATGGTTTAAGGGTCTCAGAACGAAAACTACCGTAACCTCAAAAATTTTACATTTTTCGGATCAATTTTCTTGAATTCTGATTTTCTATGATTTTCATGTTACGGTAGCCTTGAATTTTTGAACTAACTTGTTCAAGAAAAGGGCTAAATCGCACAATATCGTTAGCAATACTTCTTTGACCAGATATCGTCGATACCGTAAAACATGTAATAGAAGAACCCCTACACTGTCAAGTTTGGTTAATTTTTCTTAGCTCCTATGCAAGATATGAAAAATGTGTCAACTGATAAAGTGTTTGTGACATTACGACCCATTACGATATTCAGTTTATTAGTTGAAATTTTTTCATATCTTTGATAGAAACCGGGGTTAATTAGCTTAAAGTTAAAAGCCAAAAAATTCTTCCAGATTTTACGGTAACTTGCTTTCAACCCGTTTTTAAAAAATGCCTGGAAGTTCAAGTGGTTTTTGCTTTCAAAAACAAAACAAAGCAGTTTGTGACCGCTGTCAAGTCATATACCATTTTAGTCGTTTTTTTTCTGAATTGTTTGTGAACGTGAAGTAGGATTAAAATGTAGCTGTTTGTTTTTACCAAAAAAAAAAGTAAATTACAGACAAGGAAATTGTTTTCAGAGAAAAAGCAGAGATTAGGTCAGCTTCCTGTTACCTAAGAAAAACTATTCCCCAAAATTCAAGGAAAAAAGAATGGGAAGGAAGTAATAAAAATATGAAATTGGAGACGTTTTGGGTTCTCTCTCGTCGCCTTCTTTATGACTTATTGTGGAGTTTTTTGGAAGAAGAAAATACGTATCATTTGTGAAATTAACTAGGCCAACGTCTGACTGAGTTTTACTCGTTGACCTATTTTCATTACAAGAGCTTCTGGGATATTTAAATTCCCCTTCGAAATAAGAGTCATGAATCAAAAATCTGTCATTAAATTGTACTTCGAAAATTGAGAGAATCAAACACAAATTGTTGTTGTAAGAGGTCGATTGAAGAAAAAGAAACAACCGACAAGATTAATGGATTTTTGAAAGAAATTGAAGAACAATAAGATGGAAAAAAAGAAGAAGAAAAAGAAGAAAAAAGAAAGAACCGGATGTAAAACGTCGAGTTGACGAGAGAGAAATGACTATCAAGTTATGCTTTTTTGATTCAGATCATTTCATATTCAGGAAGAAGAGATTGAAATGTTTGCCTGTTTACTGCAAAACCCCAAGTTTCGAATTTTTAAGATATCATGTGAAAAAGCTGGACAATGAAAAATGATTGTTCTTGGTTTTTTTATTTTCGGGGTGGGTACCTTGGTTGGACTTCCCGTCTAAGTAGCGAGAGGATGCATTAATATGATTAGCTGCTCCCTCTCCGGGGAGCTCTTCCGCGAACCGCTTCTTTTTCTTATTTTCTTTTTTCTTCCTTCAATTGTTTTTGTGTGAGAAAAGAATAGAAAAAAACGTCCGGTAATTCTCGCGCCACCAAGTTTTCGGATCCTTTCTGAAAGGATTGGAAAAGCAGAATCAACGATGCGAGATGGAAGTGCAATAAGATTATTTGGTGACGATGCAGAAGATGGATTCTGAGAAATTTGAAATGTTCTTGAAGAGAAAGAACGTTCTCATGGTAAGGGAACGCAGAGGACGTTGATCAATAGATAACATGTTAGGGTCTCGAATCATAACAATTCATTCAGCACAATGCGCATAACTACCCGGACTGAAGTTTGTACTAGTATAAAATTAGAATAAAGGATGAAACTGTGCTCAAATTCGGAGTGCGAGAAAATTAGAAGCTCATCAGTAAATTCGTCAAGTTTCAAACTGATTGATCAACGTTGAGCTGAGTTATCACTTGTCCAAGTGTCTTCATCTTATGAAAATCACAACAGCATGCAAGAAACATTACGCCGTTCATCTTTGGACAATCATAACAATACCTAGACTTGAGGAATCGCTTTGAAAGAAGCTTTGAATCAAATTTAAAATTATATTTCTACCAATTTTTATGCTTTTAAGACTTATGTTTAAAGATAGACCCGTTTATATCAGTCCGGGTAATTGTGCGCCACCCTGCAGATGGAGTCATCGATATCAAGACGTTCAGAAAGTTTGGCCAGATCTCAACATTCTTCATTGAAAATTGCATGACTTTAGCGAGATAGAGCTTTCTGATCACTAGGATTCTAACTGCTCTAAGGTTCTGAATCCGCCGGTGGGTCACAAAAACTTTGTTCGGTCATAACTCGGTTCATTTTCAGAGCTAGAAACTACCCACTACTACCGTTCGTAACCCTATCCTCAAGCTTAACACATTGATAAGCTAAACTACGTAACTAAAAGTAAATTGAGCTGCGCGAAGTCTTGCGAAGCCGGCCATAGGCTGGTGAAACTAATCAAAAGGAGTCTCCTGGAAATCTGACAAAATCCCAACATTCTTCACTGAAAATTGCGTGGCCCTAGCTCTACTGAATTAAAAATCAAAAACCCAATTCAAAAACACATGTCTCATTCTCCACGGACACCATGAAAGTCAAATTTCGTACTGTTCTGCTTGTATTTCTTTTCATCAAGCTATGCATCCTTTTTACAGGTCAATCATATCTTTCAATTTGTATCGACCTATTTCAATTATATTTTCAGTACTCCAAGAAACAATCGAATCGTTAAACTCCAATGACCATCCTCTACTTTTTGGAACCGACGACATCTGGCTTTTCGATTGGATGCAAGCGTCGGTTTCCAGTCTTTCGATGTTGATTGCCTTCTCTTTGATAGCTTTTTTTGCCATTGGTCATACTCGGACTCGAAAGGGATTCGTCGTGGTTGCATTTGTGATCAATTTGATTTTTGTGGTACCGTTCTACTTATCAGGTGAAATCAGAAACCTCTGTCTTCATATTTTAAAAATTTAAAATTCCAGGAATTTATTTGACATTCCAAGACGATCATGGACTGAAACTAACATCAGAAATCAGTGATAGCTTTCAGAAGATTTTGGATTTTGCTACAGTTCACAATACAAATTATTCGAACCTAACCCCAACGTCTAACAAAACGAGTGCCAAAAGTTCAAGGAATCAGACGAATCCTCTTCCGAACGTCAATCCGGAAATGGTAAATCTATCAAACACCTTTTGGCGCAATATGTCTCTTGCAGCTGAAACATTTCCAAGTAGTCGACAATATTCAAAAAAGGTATTGTTGTTGTGGAATGAATGGAGGCCAAGATTATGGTTTTGAAAATGTAGGTCACATTTTTAAACCTTACAAAACATTTTCATTCATTTCCAGGCGACAGTAGCGTCCACAGCCTTCATTCCATTCACTTCTAAGCTGGACATCCGTTGCCCTCACAACTCTCACTTCAAGAATTCGACTTGTGGAGCTACATTCGAAAAAGGATGTGAGGATCGCCTGAAGAATGTGTATCCCACAAGAATCCTTTTATACTCTTGCATTGGCACAGCATTTTCTGTGATCTTCGTTTTGATCTCTCCACTGATTTATTCACAGTTTGAGGTTAGTTTTTGTTTCGGACTCACTTATTTTTTTTTAAGTTGGATCGAAGACGTGCTCGTGCAAAATACATTCGAGAATGGAGACATTCATTGGAGACTTATATCAATGATCATCGGATGTGGGCACTCAGAAAATCCAAAAACAATCCAATAGCCAAAAAAGAGGAAGTCAAGCAGAGTCCTGTTTCTCCAGCAGTTTCCGTCAAAACTCAAAGTCCGAAATCAAAAGAATCTGTGAAGAAGCAAGAGGAAAGCAAATAAACCAATAAAACTACTCTAACTTTTTTGCTTAATAAAATGCTTTATTTCGTATTCAATGTCGAATTAGCTGTTCATCAGGAACTTGTAAAAAGAGAATTAACAGAATCCACAGGTTTTTGGGCACTGATCCTTCATTAAAGACTGGTAGATGGAGTTGGTGCACAAGTATGCCTTGGATGCACATTCCGATACTCCAGTAGATGGGTTCACTTTATCAACACAACCTGGAACTTGGTTATTTTAATCCAAGATATTTTGGTAAATTCTAACTGGATGAAGATCCTCCATTATTGTTGTTACTGTTGTTGCTGTTGTTGCTTCCACTGCATCTGTTACAAGTCTTTGGACATTGCTCAGTCATTAAAGCGTAGTAGGTGGAATCGTTGCAAAGGTAGGCACTCTTTGGACAATCAGACACTCCGGTGGATGGGTTGACCTTATCGACGCATGCTGAAAAGTTCCAGATTTTAAAAAATTTAGGAAAAAATCTTACTGCTGGTGCTAGCGGCGGTGGTGGTGGTCGTGGTGGAAACTACGATGTCAGCATACTCGCAGCAAGTGGCATTTTTCAAGCAAGCCATTCCTTCAGGGCACATGTAGATGTCAAAAGTGTTGACTGTCATTTTCAAACAATCTTAAATGAATAAAAAAACCAAATGATATTTTCTCAGAATTCAGTTCGAAACCTCCTTGACCATTGGAACAGGTTTGGGCTGAAGTGACAGCAAACAAAGCGGAAACCAGGGTGATGAACAGCATTTTTTGTTACCTGAAACGTATAAAAGTAAATAGGTTCAAAAATCTCAAGGCTGCCATTATGCTTCCTACGACCGCGTTATATACGACTCAAAGTTGGGCGTTTGGGCTCAACGTAAATTATTCCATGCTGAACAAACAGTACTTTGCATTCTTTTCGCTCATTTTCCTGAAATAAAAAAGAACTGTTTGTGTGGGTTTATAAAAAAACTATTGAATAATTCAACAATTTTTCAAAATGTGAATCATGATTCATGTGGTAGAATAATAGGTGGCAAAAAACGGGATTTCAGAAATCCGACGCACTTTTCTTTAGGGTGAGGATCCCTAATTTTTGGGACTTGCTTTCCAACTGCAGTTTAGAAATATTTAGAATGTTCAGATGATGAGTCTAAAAAACGAAGCCTCATAAAGATATCTGAGAGACAAAAAATGCAACAGTTGAGGAATAGCTCTTTTGTTCTTGTTTTACTTTTTTCAACTTAATGTAAGCACTTTAATAGGACGCCGCCATACACTTGCACTTTGAGCTCAATTATAATAAATTCAATAAGAGCTATCAAAAATCTAAAATCGAGGATATTGAGCTCAAAGTACAAGAATAATTTCTTGTTGATAAACTATGTTATTGCCCATTATCACACAACAAGCCTGAAAAATAGCGACACACAAGCAGGAAGTTCTTAACACGAAATAATGAACATATTTTTTCAAAAATGGATATGTGCCTTCATCTTCCAAGTTTCAATCAAGGTATGTATCAATCAGAGATGGCAGGAGTTCCCACTTCCGACTTCCAGACAGTTTTTCCTTTCCGACTTCCGATTTCCGAGTTCAAAAATTTCACATCCTAACCTCTTCAGTACCAATCCATAATCAACCTTGCAATGTTGGCATTTACCCGAGCTCTTTAGCTGCAATGGTTTCAGAAAATGAGCCAGAAGCATGGACATCGTGAGAGCCAACCACCTCATACGGTTTGATTTATGTATCATTTTTTAAAACATTATTTCATTACTCTGAATATCAGATCAAATTTCAAGTGTATTGGTGAAAAGAAGGATACCTAGCTGAAAGGATATCAGGGTATCCAACATCCTAAACAAAAAAGTTGCGAATATTCAGAATTATTTTTGAGAGTTTAAGTTGAGTGCAAATATTTGTTGTGATCTTTGAAATTAAGTTTACAACAAGGCTTTTGCAAACTTTTTATCAATGGTTTTGCCATGATTTCATTCTTCTATACATTCTATATATATATATATTCTTATGCTAGAGAAAACTCTTTTTATACGATTTGCATCATTTCTCTAGACACATTTAGTCACAAAACTATGTCCACGTTTCTTTCACTCTCTGCGTATTTCGAAATAGTCGTCTTCGCTCCCTCTCCCAGTATATAAATAACAATTTGTCAGACATCAACCTCCAGTAAACAAGACGTTTCACTCTTTTCTTACTATGTTGTCATTTTTTCTTTTCAAATTGTACAGAGCGCTGAAATTTTTGAAATTTCTAGCTAAAATGAGTTGTAACTGCCCAGTAACAACTACTATAATCGTGGGAGTCATTGGATACTTTATCTACAAAAAGGTTTTCAAACTTCCCACAATTCGACCAAAACCAGAAGCATATAAGAAAGATTATAAGAAGGATGTGGTCTACCTGTATCAGTTCAAGAGAACCAGAAAGTGTCCAAATCTTTCACCATTCTGTATGAAAGTTGAGGTGTTCTGTAGAGCATACAAAATCCCTTATGAGGTAGGAGATCTCTCAAGATCAGGCTTTTTTTGATGTTTGGATAATTTCAGATCTGCGATGAGAAACGCCGTTGGTCGAGAAACGGTGCACTTCCATTCATTGAGCTCAATGGTGAACACATTGCTGACTCTGACCTCATTGAAATGCGTCTTCGTAAACATTTCGATCTTCCAGTTAGTCTGAAAATACTTCGAATATGTGCTTATTCGTATTTTTTCAGTCTCTTTCTCCAGCCCAAGAAGCACAGTCCGTCGCAATTACCAGACTTGCTGACAATCATTTGTTCAAGTGAGTTGAGACCTATGAAACCTAGGCTCACCAAGTCACATAACTCCTAACATTTTCCAGCCTTCTCATCCGTTACAAAATCCAGGGAGATGAATTCTACAATGTTCTCGTGAAGATTCTCAAACTGCCAAATTTCCTGGTTCCAGTTGTGATGCCATTGATTCGTGGAGTTTTCGGAAGAAAGGTTTACAAGAAATCAACAATGGCCATTGGAAACTTTGACCCGGATGACATGAAGGACGTTTTGTATAGAGATCTTCAAACGATCCAAGACTATTTGGGAGACCAGAAATTCTTGTTCGGAGACAAAGTTACTGCGGTAAGATTCTGATTTAGACGATGAGATTTCGAAATATTTGGGGTTTTAGGCTGACGCAGCTGTCTTCGGTCAAATCGCATCAGTGATTTATCCATTCCGTTGTTGCATCAATGATGTTCTCGAGAAAGACTTCCCGAGCGTTCTGGAGTACTGCGAGAGAATCCGTGCTGAGATCTACCCAAATGATTTCACCATCTAAATTAATGTATTTTGCTTTATAATAAACTTTGTACTGCCTGTTTAATCAATGGTTTTCCATCAAAAAATGATTACACAAAAAACTTTGAATTAGATGTCAACTACAATTGTTTATGTGTACGATAAAAACTAAACATCAAAGTTTTCTAAAAGAAAAGTGGAATCTGATAAAAACTGTAAAATGACACATGTGAAGTTTACAAATGTGAAGCTTACAATTAGTTATAGGATGCATTTATTTTTGGATAATGAGACATTCGGAAATTTAAAAAATCAGAAATTTGGAAAATTAGAAATTGATAGACTTGAAATTTTAGATATTCGGGAATTCAAAAATTCAAATCTCTGGAAATTCGGAAATAAGAAAAAAACTCAGGCGTTGAGAAAATTGAAAGTTCGGGACATTAGAAAATTTGAAATTCGCTAAATATTTATGTATATCAAAATCTCGGAATTCTAGATACTGAGTAAATTCAAAATTTTTAAAAACCCAGGTTTGCTGAATTTCAGAATTCGGAAACTTTTTTGAATTAGGATCTCAGAAATTTAGTTTATGAGAAGTTCGGAAATTCAGAAATTCAAAAAAATTAATCAAGGCCCAGCAGCATTAGAGATCATAGAATTATCAATTCAATTCATTAGTCGAACCTTTCACGAACTGTTCCAAATTTTCTAAACGATCGAGCACTCCTCAAAATAAAAAAAAACTAATCTTTCGAGTTTACTTTGTTAATTTCACATATAATTACTTCCAACAGTGAATTCCATTTTTCAATTAAAATTTCAATTTCTCAATCATCCCAAAAAATCATATCAACCAGTTTTTTTTGAACTATTATTTCGAAACACGGTTTCGAAAAATCCGAACACAACAGTGCCTATCACAAACTCCACTACAAAACACATTCTTCGATAAGAGACGGTTTTATGTATTATTTGATTTCTTCCCTTTTTTTACTCGAATTCTCCAAACTCTAACGTTTGTAACCCTTGATAGTTTTAGGTAAAATTTATTAAATATCCCCTACTTTCTATATCCAAATGAACGAAACCACCATCCAATTTACTTGAATTCAATATCAAAACGCCCCATCTTAATCTAGGTCGCAAAAGTCAGCTACTCGGACACAAACGCACACAACTTTGTCTGCCCGTCTGTAGTCTCTCAAACACACTTGGTCACTGGGTAGACTCTACCCCCTATCCCTGCAAAATGTCAGTATAAATACGGCTGGGTTGTGCGCTCAGAAAGTCTTAACGATTTCTTTGTTGTTTGGGTTTTTTGGTTAAAAACTCTTATTCTTCAAATACAAGTTATCTGGGGTTGAAATATTTTTACTTCTTGTCGTTTTTAGCCGAAACGAGACCTACTTAAAATAAAACTTTTCAGAATGGTGTGTTGTTGTCCAGTCACTACCGCATTGGTAGTTGGAGCCATCGCCTTCTTCCTCTACAAAAAATTCTTCACACCACCAACAATCAAACCAAAGCCAGCGGTTTGTTCTCTCATATACATTTCTCAAGTCTTCTAATTGTAAGAAAAATTCCAGATTCACAAAACTGACTACAAGAAAGATGTCGTCTATCTCTACCAGTTCAAGAGACTCCAAAATTGTCCAAATCTCTCTCCATTCTGCATGAAGTTGGAAGTTCTTTGTAGAGTGAACAAGATTCAGTATGAGATTGTTGAGAGCTCGTTCGCCAGATCCAGGAACGGAACTATTCCATTTATTGAGCTCAATGGAGAACACATTGCTGACTCTGATTTGATTGAGCTCCGTTTGAGACAACACTTCAAGATTTCAGTAAGCTATTTTTTTTTGTTCTTCAAAGCTCATGAAAAAATTTCAGTCTCTACCAACTGATCAAGAAGCTCAATCCGTAGCTCTTAGTAGAATGGCTGACAATCATCTTTTCTAGTGAGTTCACAATTTTAAATTGACTCCCGAACCATTCTTTTTCAGCATTCTGATCCGCTATAAGTCGTCTGTCGATGCTTTCTATGAGACCATTGTAGGTCTCCTTAACTTGCCAACTGTTCTAACTGCTCTCTTGGTCCCATTGGTCAGAGCTGTTTTCGGATCAAAACTTTATGCTCGTTCAGTTGGAGCTATTGGAGATTTCGAACCAAAAGAGTTGGATGAGCTTCTTCATAGAGATCTCAAAGTTATTCAAGATTCCATTAAAGGAAAATTCCTGTTCGGAGAAAAGATCACACCGGTTCGTTTGCCTAAACTGTTTTAATGACATAATCCCAAAGTTTTAGGCTGATGCTACTGTATTTGGGCAACTTGCCTCTGTCTATTATCCATTCCGCACCCACATTTCTGATGTTCTCGAGAAAGATTTCCCAAAAGTTTTGGAGTACTGTGAACGCATCAGAAAAGAAGTCTACCCCAACGACTTCACTATCTAAATTCTCATTTGTCTCCAGGTCTCAGACTTGCCATTAATAAAACATTTGTTCTCTGGTACATGTTTTGATCTCCTGAACTCGGTGATGACATTCAATCGTAAAATCGAATCTAGAGATAAGACAACAGTTGTCAGATAGAGGCGGGAACAAAAAAGATAGAAACGAAAGGAACCTCAGTCTGATTGTCCCTGACTAGAAGTTTCTCCTGGAGTCATGTTCGACGAGGCAAAGGCGTTTGTTTTGTCCCGTCCTCTGACCTTTTTGGCATCGGCTGGAGCAGTTTATGTGGCCTTTAAAATCAAGAAGTTCTTCACTCTTCCGTCCATCAAACCGAAGCCAGGAGTAAGTTCATTTTTACTTTAAAACCTGTAATAGAAGGAACCCTAACCTTGTAATAACTTTGAGCCAATTTTTCTCGGTTCCTGTCAAAGAGGCAAGAAAGTTGGCAACTGATAAATTGTTTATCATAAAATCAGACTTGTTTTAGCAGTTGACAAATTTTTGATATCTTGCATACTAGCCAAAATAATTTAGCTCAAACTTGACAGTAAGGGGTCCTTCTAATACTGTTGCGGTAAGTATCTTTGAAATTTTTTCAATAATTCCAGATCCACAAATTCGATTACAAACCTGACACCGTCTATATCTATCAGTTCCGACGACTTAAAAACTGTCCAAATATGTCACCATTCTGCATGAAAATCGAAATAATTTGTAGAGTTTATGGAATCAACTATGAGGTTAGTTTCCATCTTTAGATTTTTTATACTTCCGGAACATTTTTTAGGTTATTGAAAACGCGAAGCTTCGTTCCAGAAACGGCACACTGCCATTCATTGAGCTCAACGGGGAACATATTTCGGATTCTGACTTGATTGAAATTCGATTGAGACAACATTTCAAGATTCCGGTGAGTGAATTTTAACATTTTGGAAAAGCTTTCTTATATATAAAACGCTAGACGCGTCTGTTGGTCCTAGTGCCCGGCTGTCCGGTTTTGGGTTTTTAAATGAAAGGTTGGCCGCCACCAAAACCGAACCCGCGGCCTTCCGCACAATAGCCGCGCACGCACACAGCTGCGCCATGAGGCGCACACCAGGAGAGGGGAGGGCACAGGTGATTCGCGAACAATCCGTTACGGAC